CTCATAGCAACCCCTCCTTGGGTTTCTGAGGCAGTATCTCTATGGAAGTAGATTGCCCAACCTTCCTTCTGAGGAGTGGCTGGTGGGTTTGAACCACCAGCCATATGGTTAGCAGGCAAATGCCTTAGGTACTACGCTACCAGAGGCCTTAGTCACTTATATTGCAAAGGACTTATTTTGTAAAGACAGATACTTGCTATTGTTGCCGTCAAGTTGATTGCAATTCATGGTGACCCCATATGTGCAGAGTAGCATTGCCCTGTAGAGTTTTTAAGGTTGTGACCTTTCAGAAGTAGATTGTCAGGCCTTTCTTTTGGAGTGCCTCTGGGTGGGTTCAAACCACACATCTTTGGGTTAATAGTCCAGAGCTAACTATTTGGGTCTTTTGGACCACCCAGGGGTTCCTAAAGACCATACTACTGGATGCCATTTAAAAGTGAGACTTGAGAGAGAATGGATGGCTGGAGTTGTCTCGAATACTCTAGTTTATGAGCTGAGTTGATTTCTTAAGGGGCCAGATGGGAAAAGAGGGAGTTTTGGTTTATCTAAGCTCTCTTCAAGGACAAATCAAACTAATGAGGTCATGAGAAAGAGAATCTAGGTCATAGTTGAATAGTGGGAAAAAGCAAAGTGAGCTTTTGCAAGTTTGTGCAGTTCATGTGTATTCTCTTTCCTCCCCTTAGGTGGTACTGGCAAGAGAAAAAAGTACCAGAATATGTGAAATTTATGAAACAAAATTACCCTCCTGACTTCAAATATGAAGATTTTGGACCACAATTTACAGCACGATTTTTTAATGCCAGCCAGTGGGCGGATCTTCTTCAGGCTTCTGGTGCAAAATACATGGTCTTAACTACTAAACATCATGAAGGTAAGTAAATGCAACATATGCAGACATTGACCATAGTTATGACATGTGAAGTAGTTCTTTTGGGAGAAGAAGCTGAAGCAAAATTATCTCTATGAAATTAGTTTTTCTGCTTAGAAGCATCCATAAATGGTCATTGACATATATTATAATTTAGGGGACCACATGTTCCACCCAAATTGAGAGGCATTAAGTATATAGCTGGATCTTGGCTGAAAGCAAAGAACACCAGAAAGATGTTTACTTATGTTTTATTGATTATTCAAAGGCATTCAAATGAAGGCAGGGATCATAACAAATTATGGATAACCTTGTAAAAAATGGGAATTCTAAAATACTTAATTGTACTCATGAGGAAATTGCACATAGACCAAGAAAGCAGTAGTTTGAACAGAACAAGGGGATACTGTGTGGTTTAAAATCAAGAATGGTGTGTGTCAGAGTTGTATCCTTTTACCATACTTACTCAATCTGTGCACTGAGCAAATAATCCGAGAAGCTGGACTATATGAGGAAGAACACCATGTCGGGATTGGAACAAGACTCATTAACAGCCTGCGATATACAGACGACACAACCTTGCTCGCTGAAAGTGCAGAAGACTTGAAACACTTTCCAACGAAGAACAAAGAAGACAGCCTTCAGTATTCATTACATGTCAACATAAAGGAAACAAAATTCCTCACAACTGCCCAATAAGCAACATCATGATAAATGGAGGGAAGATTGAAGTTGTCAAGGATTTCATTTTACTTGAATCCACAATCAACACCCATGGAAGCAGGAGTGAGGAAATCAAGTGACATAGTGCATTGGTCAAATCTGTTGCAAAAGACTACTTTAAAGTGTTAAAGAGTAAAGATATCACTAAAGGCTCAAGTGCACCTGACCCAAGCCTTGGCATTTTCAGTAGCCTCATATGCATGTGAAAGCTGTACAGTGAATAAGGAATACCACGAAAGAATTGATGCATTTGAATTGTGGTTTTGGCAAAGCATATTGAATGTACCATGGACTGCTAGAAGAATAAACTAATCTGTCTTGGAGGGAGTACAGCTAGGATGCTCCTTAGAAGTGAGCATGGCCAGACTTGGTCTTTCATATAGGATCATATTGTCAGAAGGGACCAATCCCTGGAGAAGGATATCATGCTTGGTAAAGTAGAGGGTCAGTGATTAAGGAGAAGCCCCTCAATGAGATGGATTGACATAGTGGCTGCAGAGATGGCCTGAAGCCTGGCACCCACAGTGAGAATGGTGCAGGACCAGGCAGTGCTTCATTCTGTTGTACACAGGGTCACTGTGAGTGGAAAACAACTCAAGGGCACCTAACGACACAACAGTATAGAGAAAGATCATATTCTCCACATAACAGAGGGAAAATGGTCACTTTCTGTTAAGTATATATTTAACAATGTTTATTCTACTGGATGAAAGTTATTTAAAGTGAGATATGGATTGCATGTCAAAGTTAATCATTGAAAATTATACCTGTTGCCTCCCTTTTACTCCACTTCTCTAATACATTCTGAGGAAGCACCATTGGGTTATGATGTGGCAGTTTTCCATTATTATTGCCACACCTGGCTATGCTTTTTGACAATTTTTAGATGTCCGTGTGGTGGAGGAGTTGTGAGTGATGAAAGTGACACAGATCACCTGGCAGAAGAAGGATTTTAGTCTATAATGATGCCCAGAAATATCAGAGGTGGTAGAATAATATCTAAAAGGAAGACAGTGGTTCTACAGTAATGGAATAGATTCCACCCATTTCCATTCCCATATCTATGAAATCAGGGAAGCATCTGCAAACTGTTATTGTCCCTAAAACCAAAAACCAAACTCATGCCATCAAGTCAAGTCTGACTCACAGTGACCCTCATTGAGTTTCTGAGGCAGTAAATCTTTATGGAAGTAGATTTCCCATCTTCCTTCCATGAAGCAGCTGGTGGGTTTGAACTGCCAACCTTCTGGTTAGTAGTCAAATGCTTTAGGCACTGTGCCACTAGAGCTTCTTATATTTTTTATGTTTTATTGTCCCAAGTGTACATTAAATCATTAGGTATCTTCTTTTGCATGCCCATCTTTGCCTTGGTATAAAAAAATTATGCCTCATTGTTGTCTCTGGGAACAGGGATTGGGGAAAAAAACTGTAATTAACTTCTGAGAGTATTTTTCTGAGAGTATTTGGCTACATTCTGGTAGCTCCATGATGTCTAGAGACTTCTCCAAGCTGCATGGCACAAAGTATCACATAGTGAACTTATTAAAATAAATAATAATAACCTTTTATCATACTGTGAGGACGGAAGATTTGCCTACATTTATAAATTTTGCAGAAACCATGTTTTCTTTGCTTAGAGAAAATGCACCCACTGAACTAGTAGGAGGGAAGACACTGTGTGAGCTGTTCATGTGTTGGTGAACCTTGAATGGTGGTGACATTGAACTGAAGACCCATGTGGTTTTAGCAGTGCCTGATATCAGAGCCAGTAAACTTGAAAAAATTTGAGTAAGACATTAGATAGCGACATTGTTTTGAACCTTCACACAAGCATCTTTGGAACTGTTTGAAAAGCTTCTTAAAATGAATCTAGAGTCAGTTGGTCTTAGACTTGTCCTAATTTCCAGGAGTAAAGTATTTTAGCAAAAGCACCTTATAATAAGTACAGTAACAAAGTATGCAGGCACATTGAAATTGTTGAGGCTTTTATATTATTATTTCTTAATTATTTTAGTTTATATTATCTTTTGACTGTTTTCATATAGAACAACTAGCAATCTAACTGAAAATTTGTTTTTTTTTTTAATAGGAATTGTTTCAAAGTACTTGGATAATAGTATACATTATTTTTCTTATCCATTTAGGTGATAGGTAATTTAAAGATCTACATCCAAGCTTATGGCTTTAGAGTAAGAAGGGAATACAAATGGTGGGTGTATTTTAAAGTACAGAACTACTGGGGAAGTGCATCCCCCACCAGTGAAATGGATAATCAGACTAAAGGAGAATGACTACACATCATCAGTGTTTTAACCAAAACCAAACCACCCTCACTGCTGTCGAGTTGGATCCGACTCATAGTGACCTCTCCTTGCGTTTCCGAGGTAGTATCACTACAGAAGTAGATCGCCCAGCCTTCCTTCCAAGGAGTGGCTGGTGGGTTTGAACCACCAACCTTCTGGTTAGCAGTCACATGCCTTAGGCACTATGCCACCAGAGCTCAGTGTTTTAGGAATCACAATATAATATACACAACACTAAGACTATGAGAAATACTTCAGTCTTTGGTTTAGAAGATCAAAGACTCTTGCAGGAGTGTACCTCAGGGTCTTCATTATAAATGGTAGTAGTTGCCATTGTTTATATATTTTAGCATCGTAGATGTGGCAGGTGTTCCCAGTGGTCTAGCTATGATCTGCTATTGTTGATTGTTTATTCTGTGCTAGACTCTGTGCTAGGCTGGGAAAGAGCAGGGAACACTGGGGACATAATGCTATCCCTCAAGGAGCTTATACTCTAAGAGGGGAAATATGGGAGATAGGACAGACTCTTCAGAGCCTATGGTGTAACCTGAAAGTTACTTTAAATAAACCTGGTTCTACTTTGGTTAACATCTCATGTTTTTCTTCTAAAAACAGAATATGTACTATGAAAAATATTTGCCATGAAATAGTGTGGTAGTTCAGTTTGTGTGTCAACTTGGCTGGGCCTTGTTGAGTGGCTGGCAACTGGTGGTAGTTATTCCCCATGAGACTGGCAATCAACTCCATGGTGGGATCTACCACAAGCAGCTGAGTAGCTGCTTTAGGGATGTGGTCTGCTTCCCGTGTATGAGCAGTAGCTTTGGGAATGGTCTCTAGCTTATGGCACCTTGAACCCTGCATGTAGCTGTGTCGTTTTCAGCAGCCTGTCATGCTCTGCCAACCTGGGGACTTACAATGGACTTGAATTAATGGCCTGCCGTGTGATTTGGTAATATCGGGACTGTGCCTTTTTATTTGTCAACCTTGGGCTTGGCAGCGTCAGTAGCCAGCAGCTGTCTGAGTGAAGAAAAGCCACTAGCTTCAGTGGGCTGGGAACTGGAGGCCGAGCTGAAGCCCAAGGCTGAGGGGCTTTCACCTAGCCCCTACAGCCTGGCACTTTGAACTTGGACTCCAAATTGTAAGAATAAACTCTTGTTTGTTAAGGCCATCTCATTTGTGGTGTATTCTTGTCAGAGTGGCACTAGGTAACCAGAACAAATAGTCATTTGTGGAAGAAGTTATTTATATATCATTTGCACTATCTGAGCTCCCTGGGCGGTGCAAACCCACCCATGGCACCAGGGAAGAGGGGCCTGGTGAAGTGCTTCCATAAAGATTACAGCGAGAAAACCCTGTGGAGCAGTTCTACATATGAACTAACATACGGGATCGCCACAAGTCAGAACTGAGTGGACAGCAGTGGGTTTGGTTTTTATGATCTGATTTGTTTTGGCATTTATGAAAGTGGAAATTTACTAGAGGAATGGATATGCTTATACAAGTGTTCAATGTAATTTTCCAGGCTTCACCTTGTGGGGTTCAAAGTACTCATGGAACTGGAATGCTGTAGATGAAGGGCCAAAAAGGGACCTCGTCAAGGAACTTGAGGTAGCCATTAAGAACAGAACCGACTTGCATTTTGGACTGTACTACTCCCTTTTTGAGTGGTTTAACCCACTCTTCCTTGAGGACAAACTCAGTTCATTCCATAAGCAGCAATTTCCAGTGTCTAAGATGTTGCCTGAGCTCTACTGGTTAGTGAACAACTATCAGCCTGAGGTGCTCTGGGCAGATGGTGATGGAGGGGCACCAGACTCCTACTGGAACAGCACCGGCTTCTTAGCCTGGCTGTACAATGAAAGGTGTGTATACTACCGGATTGCTGTCCTTACCTTGAACCTTCTTACTACGTTCGTAACATTTTCATTCCCTCGCTTGAAATACTTCTGTCCAGGCTCATTTGTAGTATGAGGGAGAAAATCACTGAAAATAATGCTAATAAGATAAATTAATACTTATGCAAAATAATCAAGAGTAAAGAAATCAGGAGTTAAATATAACATAACTGCCTAATTTTTAAACCAGATGAACGATCACAGGATCAAGGACTTCGAAGATATTAATTTTGTGGGTTCTCCTTTTCATCTCCTGTTCTGCTCTTCTACTGCCCCTGTTCTGGGGAGATGTGTTAATCATCCTTGTATTCTGATTATGTGCTTTTTGATTCCTCCACTTGCTTCTGTTTATTCACTTACCTTTTGATAATCTTTGTTGCCCAGTCAGTATTGCCCTAGTTCCTCTTCTTTTTCTTTATCCTCATCAACGTTCTCACCTCTTCTTGTTCCTTTGCTTGGCTTTCTAGCACGTTCAAAGCTGCCCCATTAGATCTGGAAGTTCTGACTGAGTTCCTTCTTTCAGCTTAAACTGTATGGACCAAATTCATAATTGTAATTAGAAAGTACTTGGTATTGTGCTAGGAAGTCAAGGAGTGATCTACTTGTACTCCGTGAGTCCACAAATATTCTGGCAAGGTCTGGATTCTTAATACAGCAGTTTTTCCAGGTATTCCTTCCAAGGGAAAGGACTGGGATGTCTCCACTTTAATTTGTGAATCAAACTGTCCCATCACCACCTGCTATAATAAATAATGTTGCAGGGATATTTCATGCCACAGTGAATTACATAATGGGAGCAGTTGATTTTGCAATATGTGGCACAATTGTAAGAGAAATAGAAAGGCTACAATGTAATGTATGAGATTATTCAGTCATTGGAGAGAAAAATATCTTGAGTATAAGTTCAGTTTTAGTTACTGTTGTTGTTATTGTTAAGTGCCGTCGAGTCGTTTCCGACTCATAGCGACCCCATGCAGAGCAGAACGAAACACTGCCCTATCCCGCGCCAACCCCACAATCCCTGCTATACT